GTATGTGTTCACTGTGTGTGCACTGTGTGTGTCCACTATGTGTGTCCACTGTGTGTGTCATAGTATGTGTGCACTGTGTGTGTACCATGTGTGTTCACTGTGTGTGCACTGTGTATCATAGTGTGTGTGCACTGTGCACTGTGTGTGTCCACTGTGTGTGTCATAGTATGTGTGCACTGTGTGTGTACCGTGTGTGTTCACTGTGTGTGTCATAGTGTGTGTGCACTGTGTTTACTGTGTGCTGTATGTGTGTCCACTGTGTGTATGCTATGTGTGCATGCATTGTGTATGTGTGCACATATAAGAGACAGAGAAACATCGGTAGAGAATCTGCCCTATTTGATGGGTAGGACTGTAATTAAACATGATGGGTCACAAATTCAACCCATTCCCACCTGATGACTGAGACTAGCCAGCTGAGGAGTACATTCCATGAGATTCCATGAGATTACAATCAGTTAATAAGTGAAGGACTTTCACACAGAGGCACTGAGAACCTGGCCCAGAAATGCAGAAATCGCATGGGGAGCATCTGAGCCGAGGGGAGCTGCTCACCTTCACGCTGTCCGGCGAGGACTGCCGGAACTTGTTCTGGTAGAGCTTCAGTGTGTCTGCCGTGAGGACATAGGGGTGCTGGCTGCGCATGCTCTGGAATTTCTCCAGCATCTCGGGCTGGTACTCGGCAAAGTCAAAGGCTTCCACAGGCCCTGAAGGGGTGTTGGCCACCACCGACACCCGCACCATGGGCATCTGGTTGCCACTGCAGCTGATTCTTTGCATCTGGCTGATTCTATTCAAGATGGCGTCCATCTTGGACTCAAGCCCCTTCTGGGCCACAAATACATTTTGATCTCTAGAACCATCAAACCCCAGAATCACATCCAGGTTACAAGCTGAAAAAAAAAAATGAGGTGATGAGCTGTAGGTAGGGGCTGACGAGGTGAAGTCTCCCTACAGAGACAGGACACTGTGCTCAAAACAGAATCAGCTCTCTACATTACCGTGTTTTCCCGAAAATAAGACCTACCCCCAAAATATGCCCTAGCAAGATTTCTATGCATTTGTTAAATATAAGCCCTACCCCAATAATGAGACCTAGTGATGGGCGTGGAGCAGTAAGTAAGACTGGAGTACCTTCTATCTGCCACAGCTCCTTTCTCTGAGCCGTTTGCACTTGCGTGGGTGTGCATGTGGTAACCACCACTGCAGGCATCCTATTGCACACGCACGAACGGCTAGGGGAAAGGAGTTCACGCATCACTAACACCAGCCCCACCAAGGTCGGCTCCCCCTGTCAGGTTCCAGAAGAAGAGGACTTAACTGTATTTGAATAAGTGTAGATTGTCATATTATACTTAATAAAAATAAGACATCCCCTGAAAATAAGCCCTTGTGTGTCTTCTCAAGAAAAAATAAATATAAGACAGTGTCTTATTTGGGGGGAAACACGGTAGCTCTCAGAAGCAGTTAGATCTGTCTCCCACCAGAAAAGTGGTGGGAGCTGGTAAGAAGCAAAACTGTAGGTGATCTGAATATGTTTGCTTTAGGGTGAGGTTAATCAATTCTGGCGTGATGACACCAGTTGGTTTTTAGATGCATCCCAAGTTTGTGTGTGTGTTGGGGGGGGTGTTTGTTTTGAACTAGAGTCTCACTCTACTGCCCAGACAGAGTGCCATGGTGTCAGCCTAGCTCACTACAGCCTCAAACTCTTGGGTTCAAGCAATCCTCCTGCCTCAGCCTCCCAGGCACCAACTACAATGCCCAGCTAATATTTTTTCTATTTTTAGCAGAGAGGGGTGTTGCACTCTTCCTCAAGTTGGACTTGAACTCCTGAGCTCCTCGGCCTCTGAGAGTGCTGGGATTACAGGTGTGAGCCACCATACCTTGCCCCAAGTTTGTGCTTTAAATTAAAATCATTGGAAAAGGTAAATACTGTTATCTCGAATAATTGATCTAATAAATCTATAACCAGACAAGAAATCTGAGTTATTTGAGGGATTGAAGAGCAGGGGAGAAAATAAATCTTATAACAGTAAAGAGGAAAGAAAAAAAAAAAAACTACAAACTCCCACTTGTATCCCAGCAAAGCATCCCCTGGTGGTCTTAGGTGTGCACAGATCCTGAGCCCTGGGACCTCAGGTAGCTAATGAACTCCAACACTGACAGGAAAATCTAGAAAATATGTGCAAAAGGGGGGTTACCTTTGGAAACATCAGACACGCCAGGGCACAAGGTTTCATGCATGGCATCGTGCAAAGTTTCCAAAACTTGCTCGCTCAGTTCTGACAGCTCCTGCACATTGCCCACGCGGAATGCTGTGGCGCTGTTGGACGCAATCCTTCCAACCTCCTCCGAGTCGATGTTCCTCACACCAACCGCAAACACCTTGACCCCTCTCTGGGTGAGTGCCAGGCTCACGTCCTGAGCGTCCTCCGCCGACTTTCCTCCCGTGATCACAAACGCTATCTGTGGGACACGCTGATCCAGGCGGCTGCCGGCATCGGGGACGAAGTGGTTGAGCCGCAGGTGCTCAATGCCCACCCTGGTGTTGGCGTGTCGTCCCCCCTTGTAGACCACTTTGTTGATGGCATCGATAATCTGCCTCTTGGTAGAAAAGTCCTTCAGGAAGAATTCATCCGTGGGGTCGGAGTTGTACTGGACCAGCCCCACTTGGATGGAGTCACCCTCTTCGTAAACTGTGTCCACAATTTCAGACACAAAACGGAGCACTTCTTGGAAGCTGTCCCTCCCGAAATTGATGGAGCCATCCAGCAGGAATACAATGTCTGCTTTCTTCTTCTCTAAACATGATTAAAGTGAAAATGAGGAGAGACTGGGTTTCAATGCCCACAACAAAAATATGTAAACTGTCAGTGGGAAGAATTGAAATAAAAATATTTCCTGAGAATCCATTCAGTGAAAAGCTTCACTCTAACCCATGCCTCTGTGATCCTGAATTCACAGATCACAAAGATCATGCTAAAAACAAAAAGACAAATCACAAATCACCTAAATAAAGAGGAAAGGAATCTTGAAACTAGGGGGACAGAGTCCCAGTCACCCCATGCAAAGTGGATTATGCCAGTAACTCAGCAGGGACCTGGATTTGACAGTCTGTGACCTCAGGTGTTTTAGGAAATGACACTGAATTCTTTCTGTTTAAAATAAAATATATTACTCAGAAATAAAAACAAATCAGGAGGTATCACATTACCAGACTTCAAGTTATACTATAAATCTATAGTGATCAAAACAGCATGGTACTGGCACAAAAACAGAGAGGTAGATTTATGGAACAGAATAGAGAACCACGAGATAAACCCAGCTACTTATCATCATTTGATCTTTGATAAGCCTATCAAAAATATTCAGTGGGGGAAAGACTCACCATTTAACAAATGGTGCTGGGTGAGCTGGCTGGCAACCTGTAGAAGACTGAAACTGGACCCCACCTTTCACCATTAACAAAAATTGATTCTCACTGGATAAAAGATTTAAACTTAAGACATGAAACTATAAAAATACAAGAAGAGAGTGCAGGGAAAACATGTGAAGAAATCGGCCTGGCAGAATACTTTATACAAAGGACCTCCCCTGCCCCCTGGTAATTGAAGCAACACCAAAATTACATTACTAGGATTTGATCAAACTAAAAAGCTTTTACACAGCCAAGAGCACAGTAATTAAAGCAAGCAGACAATCTTCAGAATGGGAGAAGATTTTCACAGGTTATGCTTCCAACAAAGGTCTGATAATTAGAATCCACAGAGAACTCAAACTAATCAATAAGAAAAGAACAAATAACCCCATTTCCATGTGGGCAAGAGACTTGAACAGAAACTTCTCTAAAGAAGACAGGCACATGGCCTACAAACACAAGAAAAAATGTCCATCATCTTTAATCATCAGATAAATCAAAATCAAAATCACTTTGAGATACCACCTAACTCCAGTAGGAGTAACCCAATCACAAAATCCCAAAACTACAGATGTTGGCATGGATGCAGAGAGAAGGGAACACTTGTACACAGCTAGTGGGAATGCAAGCTAATAGGACCTTTTTGGAAAGAAGTTTGGAGAATACTCAAGAAACTAAAAGTAGATCTACCATTCAATCCTGCAATTCCTCTACTAGGTATATACCCAGATGATCAAAAATCATTTTACAACAAAGACATTTGAACCAGAATGTTTATTACATCCCAATTCATAATTGCCAAGTCATGGAAGCAGCCTAAGTGCCTATCAACCCATGAATGGATTAAAAAATTGTGGTATATGTATACCATGGAATACTATGCAGTCATTAAAAAGATGGAGACTTCACATCTTTTATGTTTACCTAGATGGAGCTGGAACAGATTCTTTTTAGTAAAATATCTCAAGAATGGGGGGGGGAAAGTATCCAGTGTACTCAATACTACTATGAAATCAAAATATAAGCACCTACACATTCATATGAATGCTAAAACATAACTATAGTCCAGAAAGTAGAAGAAAAGAGGAAGGAGAGGGGAGACAATGGGGGAAGGGAGAGAAGGGAGGGTATTGGGGGAACCTCACCTAATGTATGATGCAATGTTACATTTAAAAACTATTAAGAAAAGAATATAATTCTGATGGATGTGTTAATCAGTTTAATGTAAGCATTTCACATTGTGTATCAAATCAGTACACTGAAACCCATAAATGCATCAATGTACAAAGTTATGATTTAATAAAAAAAATAAAATAAAAGATGGTATCTAGAAGTGGAGAGAGATTTGTTAGGGGCAGGTCAGGGAAGGGCTGGGAGAAACAGGAGGGACGTTGGGAAGGAACCCCATTAACCTTCAGAGGAAGGTCTGAGAGCTTTGCAGGAGATTGCTCAGTGGTGTGGGGGGTAATTTCTTTATTAAAATCAAGCATCCAGGGCTGGAGTGGAAATGAGAGACAGCGGGAAAGGTGTGAGATGTGCCACAGCCAGCCCTGAGGGAGGCAAAGAAAGAGGAAGCAAGAGTACAGACCCCCCCGCCGGGCAAGCCAACCCTGACGGTTCTGTAGATGTCCACACGGCCATCACCTGGGGAGCTGCAAGGAAAGCTGTGGGTTTGGGGGCGCCTGAGTTCTTGGCAGCCCCACAGGTGAGGACCAAGAACATGGGGTGGGAGCTGTAGTGGGACCATTTTAAGATCTCCAGGGAGGTGCTCCTGATGGTCACACCAGTCCCAGGAAGAAGGGGCATCTGGATCACGGTGGGCACCCTGTCACTGGTCATGGGCTGACGTCAAAGTCACGTTCAGTAGACCATGGGCTAACTAATTTCAAGAATGCTCTCCTTGAGTTTGTGACCCCTCAATGCACCTTCACAGAGCCTTTCTTTGGGGTGACAGCCTGAGGAATGAGAGAAAGTCTATGATCCTAAGCTTTGTGGAGCGCATTTCCCTCCATAATTTCAACCTACCTGTTTTCCTAGTGTTTAATTTCTAATATGATCTGTAGAAGCAGCCTTGACAAAAGAAAATTACTAAAGTGAATGCTTATTATTTTTTCAATTCAACAATGGATGGCACACTCCATAGTCACGAGGCACACCGCTCGTACCTGGCCGGGAAGGCGGCGGTTCCACGGGGGGTGCAGGAGTGACTCCGGAGGGCCCAAATGCACTCAAGACCCTCTCGTCCATGCTGGGAAGCTCTCGGAACTCTCGCACTGTGAAGATCAGTCTAGGGTCGTTGGTGATGGTCTGCAGCTCCGTTCTGTCGATGTTTCGGGCTCCTACCCCTAAACTCACAATCCCAGAAGAGCGTATCACTTGTGCAAACCTGGAAACATCATCCTGGGACTTTCCACCCAGGACCAGGACCAGGTGTTGGGGCACCCCATCTTCTATCCGGCTCCCAGCAGACTTGACAAAGAGATTTCTTGCCACAAACTCCAGAGCTTTGCCAGTGTTCAGTGGAGACCCCCCTCTGAACCTCAGGCGTCGTAAGGCTTCCAGCACGGGGGCCTGGGATTTGTAAGTCTTCAGGTAGAATTCTGGGAAGACGTCATTGCTGAACTGCACCACCCCAATTCTCACTTTATTGGGCCCGACGTTGAGTCTTCTAACAATCCTGCTAACAAAATCTCGAATATATGCGATACCTTCAGGCCTCACGCCATCAGAGCTATCGATCAGAAAGACGATGTCTGCGGCGTCACTCTCAACAGCTGCAGATAAAAGAAAGAAAAGTTCAGCAGGTCACCAGCCCTCTGCCTGCTCTGTCTCTGCTTCTGTTTCTGAACTTTGGATCATGTTGTATCATAATGTTATCCGACCTTGAAATCATATCCCAATACACATGGGTTGTTTGCATCTTAGGTTTTTTGAAATTAACCATTAAAAATTGGAACTTTGTTACTGAAACAATTTCTACAACTTTTTCTTTCCAAGTTTACTCTAATTTTACCTTTATGGTCTGGGTTGCCATTAATTTGCAAATATAGGCAGCATTTAGAAATTAATCCTGGATTATCCTAATCCAAAGTAGAATCACAAACCGTTACTGCCAGAATAGACTGATGTCCCTGGGGCCTCCATCTTTGCTGTGTGAGAAGAAAGAGACATCTCGGGTCCATCCCTTAGTGAGGGGGAGCCCTCAGGATCCTGACTCCATCCCATGTCATGTCCTGGCTGGACCCTCAGGAGTTGCGGGTGCTTAGAGCAATGCTACGACCACACGTCTCGGGAACACGCCCCAGCTATCAGCTCCTTCTGTTCCTTTTTGCTCAGTCCCTTCTAACATTTATACAGAGTTTTCATTTCCACCATCATTTCTCCCATTTTCTTCTCATGAGTCCATTTTTAATTATAAAATTAATCAAAAGGTCCTAGGGACAATGAACCAGATTTTCCCACCAGAGTTCTATGTCCTTCTCAAATGCCATTTTATTGAACTAACGAGTTGCCACTCCGAATTTCAATCTGCCTTTGGCCTCATACTCTCCTGGGCGGTTACAGTGTGCACAGCACAGAGAGCCCCAGCAGGGCGAGTCTGAGGACAGTCAGCCTCCACCCCCTCCCCCAACACATACAACCCCGGGTTCTCCTGTTGGCATAAGTGATTTCACACATCACTAATATCAGACAAGGTTACTCTGTGACCGTGATGGGGCAAGACAGAGAGGAGCCCACTTTGTGACCATATCTGAACACAAACAAGAAGAAAAACACAAAGGCGGGGCCCTCCCTGCCCCCCATCCCGGCCCACAGGAGTGACTGCCTCTTCACCTGTCTTCACCACAGCCTTCCTCCCTCCAGATAAGGTTTATTAAGAGAGCCCATCAGAGGAGGGCCCCTTCCTCACGACATCCCATCCAGGCCACAGTCTCGCTTCCTTAAGACTTCCACAAAGTGACCTGCCGCTAGCTCCAGTCTCCAGGCCTTTGCAGTAGCCTCTCCCTGAGACGCCCCATGGTTCATGGTGGCATGCAGCAGCCTCTCCCTGAGACGCCCCGTGGTGGCCCATGGGGGTGTGCAGCGGCCTCTCCCTGAGACGCCCCGTGGTTCACGGGGGTGTACAGCTTCCGCTCCAAACTTGGTCAGCGGCAGGGGTGCCCTGATGTCCTCTGGCTGGCGGGCATGGCAACAGAAAGGTCCAAGAGCACCACCCTTACTTAGTTTCATTATCCTGAGTACCAGGCCTGTGAGGCTGTTTTTTAAATATCAAAACTACTCTGAGGAAAACACTCATCCCCACCCCCACAGAGCTCACCTGGGGGCGGGTAGCGCGTGCTGGCCAGGATCTGCTGGATCTGCTGGGAGGTGAGCGTGGCGATGGGGGTCAGCAGCTTCTGCTCCAGGCTGGGCAGCTCCCGGAAGGTGCTTACCGAGAACACGTACTCAGGGCTCAGTGCAATCTTCACCAGCTCCTCCTGGTCGGCGTTCCTGCCCACTGTGAACGGCGCCACGCCAAACTGCTTGAGCTCCACGGCAGGGCTGTCCACCTCGTCATCAGACTTCCCAGAGGAGACAAGGACCAGGAACTGCGGGACGCCCTCCTCGATCCGGCTCCCCAGTGGCCGCTTGAAGATGTTCCTGGACACGTACTCCAGGGCGCTCCCCACGTTAACCTGCCTCCCGCCTTGGGGCCGCAGCCTCCGCAGGGCATTCTGCACCTCGTCCTTGCTAGAGTGGGCATTCAGCAGAAACTCCACCTTGGGGTCCTCACTGAACTGGATGACCGCCACCCGGGTGGTGTCAAAGCCCACGTCCAGGTAGTCCACCAGCCTCTCAATGAGGGTGCGAATGTACTGAAACTCAGGCGCGGCGCTCTGGGACCCATCAATGAGGAAAACCACATCCTTCTTACTGCTGACACCTGTGAACCAAACAAATGCCATCATGGATATCACCTTTGCTGGCACCAACTTCTTTTGTTTTTGTATTAAAGAGACAGAATCTCACTCTGTCATCAAGACTGGACTACATTAGCATGATCAGAGCTCACTTCAGCCTTAAATTTCTGGGCTCAAGTGGTCCTCCAGTGTCAGCCTCTTGAGTAACTGGGACCACAGGTGCATGTCACCATCTCCAGCTAATTTTTTTGCAGAGACAGGGTCTTACTATGTTGCCCAGGCTGGCCTTCAACTTCTGGACTCAAGCAATCCTCCTGCCTTAACCTCCCAAAGTGCTGGGATTGAGGCCAGAGACACTGCACCCAGATAGCACCAAATTATTAGCATTAAGGAGCCACCCCCGTATTTGTCTTGGAGTTAAAGGTCCCAACACCAACTACCATAGTTGAAATTTCAGTCTCCAGAGTGAGTGGTGGGCATTTCAGGGTCTACAGCCAGAGAGGAACAGAGGATGAGGAGAGCAAACCCAAGGGAGGCAGAGCCCGAAGAGCTCCGTCTGCAGCAGGGAAGACAGGCTGCAGGAGTGAGGGTTCTGACTGCACAGACGCTGCTCATGGGCCAGGTGAGATGGCAGCTGAGAATCAGCCACCAGATCCGCCAGGAGGAGGGACCTGACAAGGGCACTTTTAGGGAGGGACAGGATGAAGGGAAGATTAGGGCCAGTTCCAAGAAGATGAGAGGAGAGGAACTGTCACAGCACAGGTAAGTCTTCCAGCAGAGACAGGTGCCGCTGGGAGTTTTCAAGAAAGAAGAAAAGCAAACGTTTTATCCTGAGTAGAATCATTCAGCACAGTGGAGAATGGTGGTGCAGGAGGGAGCAGGGGGACGGCAGAGGATGACCAGGAGTTGGGTGCAAGAGGGCCGAGGTGGAGGAGACGGGTCAACCAGAAGCAGCAGGCACGCGAGACTCAGGGCAAAGCCCGTGGAGCTTCTGGGAGTACGCCTCCGGTCTGCCGGCACATCCTTGGTGAAAGTGACCAGCTGAGGGAGGAAGGGCACGGAGGCAGCTGGGGGTAGGGGAGGAAGAGGGCAGAAAATGGCCACCTGAAGGGCCAGTGAGTGCGGGGCTGAGAGGCCACGTGGTCCTGGAGACATCCCTCTCTGAGTAAGAGAAGAGCTGCGCGCACACCGCAGAGACATTGCCCAGGTGCTCCCAGCAGCCCTGGGCTCAGGGTCATGGCCATGAAGGGCTCCTGCAGCCAGATTCATTTTGGAAATGCTGTGCCCCCTCCTAGTATCGGGAACACACAAATAGCATCAGTTGAGGGAGTGAAAACCTCTTTCACTTTGTTTACCCCCAAGTATCAAACACCTCAGAACACCCAAAGGAGCCCCGAGGGTCACGCTGCTGTCTCCCCTGGGTGCCTCTGGAGAGCCCCTCTCAGTGGCACTGCCAAAGGTCACCATGTCCCGCTGTGGCTTTCCTTTCCTTCCATGCTCCCCTTCCCGCGAGGCCAGGAAGGAACAAGCTCACACACACCTCCTTTAAAAAGTGACCTGCCCCAACCCACATGCGGAGAGCAGCCCCTAGGGGCATTCACTGCAGGCTGGATGCATCTCAGCCCCCTTCCTTCCCAGCAGCCAGGGTCCCCTGCCTACAAGTGGGGAGTGAGGCCATGGGCATACCCTTCTCCTGACCATGGGTGGCTGCCGCCAGAGTACTGGGCGGCTGGGCACAGAGAGGAACAGGTGTCAGCAGAGAGCTCCACCTTTAGACATCTGGACAGAAGTCTCCACACAGTTACGGAGTCTGAACTCCAAGCCCAGCATATGCTTCTCAAGAACAGTTTAATTTGTCCCAAAATGTGAATCTTCGCATCCTCCCACCCCTGAACCGCTGCCATTTCTGCCCATCACGGCCACAAGAAGCACACGGCACCTAACTGTTCCATGTGGCTCTAGCTTTCACCCCACAGGGCAGGGGAAGCAAAACTGAAAACGCTTTGTAGCCCACAGTCCAGACAAGTAGCCCAGAGGGGTCGACAAGGGGCAAGGGTCCCAAGAACCCTCACCTGGGCCCGGAGGTGGCAGCAACACCGGCTGCAGTCTGCTCAGTTCTTGGCGGGTGAGCTGGGTCACCCTCTCGGAGATGACCTGCTGGATGGTCCCCAGCTGGTGGAAGGTGGGGATGGCCACCGCGAAGTCTGGGATGAAGGAGATGGTCTGCATCTCTGAGATGTCAGCGTTCCCGATGCCAATGCCAATAGGCACCGCCCCACGCCTCTTCACGACCACGGAAGGGCCTCGCACATCGTCCCCAGAGCGGTCAGCCGTGAGGACAATCAGCAGCTGGGGCACGCCCTCCGCTATCCTGCTTCCCGCGGAACTGACCAGGATGTTCCTCAGGACAAAGTCCAGCGCAGCTCCGGTGTTGGGGTTCGGCCCTCCCAGCAGGGTGAGCCTGCGGATGGCACTGACCACACCCTGCTGGTCCATGTACGAATTCAGGTAGAACTCGGGCCTGGTGCGGTCACTGTACTGCACCACAGCCACCCGCACCCTGTCCGGGCCCACGTCCAGGCTCTCCACCACTCTTTGGACAAACTCCTTCATCAGGGGGAAGCCGCTGCTGACACCGTCAGAGCCGTCAAGCAGAAACACCACATCCTTTTCACCTGAAACTGGGAGAAGGGCGCCAATGACTCACAGGACAGGAGAGCTGCAACTCCACACCTTGGTGGGGGGCTGCACAAGGACACCCACTTCCAAATCCCAGGACCAGAGGAAAGGGCTCTGCAGATGTGGAAAGTTAAGGATTTGGGGGATAGGGTCACTTGGGTGGGCCCAACGTCATCAATACCAGTGCCATTCTAAGGAGGAAGGAGAGCCAGAGTTAGAGCCAGCTCAGAAGCAGAGGGCAGTGAGGACCAGGGCACTGGCACCTAGGACAGAGAACAGGCCACAGCCCAAGGAATGACGGCAGCCTCAGTGCTGGAGAAGACCGGCAGGGATGTCCCCTGGAGCCTGCAGAGGAGTGAGCCTCTGACACTGTGACTGTAGCCCAGTGACACTCGTTTCCGATTTCTGGCCTCCAGAACTGCCAGATAGTAATTTTTTGGTCCTTTTTATCCACTACAGCTTTGGTGATTTGTTACAGCAGGAACAGGAAGCGAACTCATTGGTTCTCTAGAGGCCTTTTACTCTAGGAGTCCTCAATGCCTGAGGAGCACTGTTAGCTTTCAAAGGTGCACTGAGGAAAACAGCTGGGGGGGGCGACAGATAAGGCAGCAAAGCCTGCAGCACCACAGTGTTTCAGAGACGGGGGGCATGAAGGGATTTGCTGCAAGTCACAAGTGGATCGAGGGAAGCCCCCGGGGACACCCACTTCCAAACCCTGGATGTCCAAGTTACCATCAAAATCAACAGCAACCATGCCAGTTGTCAATGTAGACGCTCCAGAGTCTCGGTTTTTAATCAAAGGGAAAATAGGTGAAATTGATTACTGTTGTCACTGCATTTGTATCTCCAAATGACAAGTGGTCAAACAACATCACAGAGTATAGACCAGCCATTGGGAATTTTAAAGCAGCATTCACCATAGGAACTTCTCTGACCCCTCTATTGCATTTTATCCTTTTTTTTTTTTTTGAGGTTTTTGGCCAGGGCTGGATTTGAACCCACCACCTCCAGCATATGGGGCTAGTGCCTTACTCCTGTGAGCCACAGGTGCCACCCTACTGCATTTATTCTTAATGAATGGAGTGAATGAATTACATCACAGACACGCCCCTGCCGCAAGGTGCTGGTAGAAGCGTCTGGCTGCAGGTAACCATGTTACATGGCTTTATTATGCATGAAGCAAAACGTGTTTCTTCACAAAGGATTTTAACCACTGATGTCTAAATCTTCATAATGCACCTTACTGTGAAATATTCTGATGCTCTTAAAAATTATCACCCTGATTCTCCCGTTTTGCCCTAGAGATCAGCGAGAGAGACTCAAGGCGAGGGAAGAACATTCCTATTCCAGTGCTGCTGAGACCACCTATTAATTTCCCAAGCCCCCTGTAAATCCGGGAGGGCTTCCCTCTGAGGACCAGGAGCAGCAACCTACCCCCACGCAGGGACGGAGAACCAGGCTGCAGAAGCCACCATGTCTATAGCGTACCTGGCGCCGGGGCCCCATTTTGCACCGACTTCAAGAGATTCACAATCTGCGGCTGAAGGTCCCCAATCTTGGGAAGTGACTCTGCCACCAGGATGAAGGCCGGGGACAGCACTATCTGCTCCAGCTCGGCAGGGTCCGCGTTCTTGGCTTGGAAGATGAAAGGCACCACCCCGCTCTGCTTCAGGTTCCCCGCCGGCCCCTCCACGCGGTCCGAGGACTTGCCGGCCACCAGCAGCACCAGCAGCTGCAGCACCCCGTCCTCGACGCGACTGCCTGCAGACTTCACGAAGATGTACCTCTGCGCGTAGTCCAGGGCGTAGCCCAGGTTGAGGGCTTTGCCAGTCTTGATCTTCATTCTCTTCACGAGATTCAGGATCTCGGGCTTACTCTGGTGCTCGTCGAAACGCGACTCCACCCTGACGTCGTCGCTGTACTGAGCCACCGCAACGCGCGTCCCATCCGGCTTCACATCCAGCTCTTCGATAATCTTGTAGAGAAAGTCCCGGACCACAGGGAACTGGCGCAGGAGATTGGCAGAGCCGTCGAAAAGAAACAGGATGTCCCGCTTGCTCTCTGCAAGGAAAGCGGGTTAGGACACAGTGAGGGATGAGACCGCAGCCAGGGAAGCCTGCACTGGGTAGCAGGATTCGCAAACCTCATCTGAGGATCACTGTACCAGCGGGAGAGAAGCCCCGTGCCACTTGTCAGGAGAGCATCCTATGTCAAAACAGGGCTTATTTGCAAAAGCACAGAACTACCGTGTCAGCATGTCCAACCTGGTGAGTGAAGAAGAGCCCCCCATGTCCTGGGCTCACGTCGGGTAGCCATCACCCCAGGAGCACACACAGCTGTTAAAAATGTGGTCCTTATTGTACTCTTGGTAAAAAATTCTCAGTCTCTAGTGACAAAGGCTGATATGGGTTAGCCGCCTGCAGATAACCAGGCTACCACAAATCTGCTCTAACTGGATTATCTTTTCATAAAATTTTCTGTTATGCATCAAGACCCACAACAGTGCATGTCATTGCTGTGTGGGTCAGGCTATGCCCATGCTCTCCCATCTGCTGGAGTTAGACAGCGGGAAACACCGACGGCAGCTTCTATGGGGCCATATTGTGTGATATAAATACTATTTTCACTTCAGACAGTTCTTAAGAGTATTTTGATCAGGTTTCAATTGGCTAGGTCTTGCCTCCCATCCGTGTGATGTCAGCAAGATGACAGATCTAATACCGCCATCTCTTTCCACCACAATAATCTGCAACAACAGCAATAACCCAGACTCCCTTGGGAATCCATTCTCCCATTGCTGAAAGATGCAACCTTAGGATCTGCACTGCAGAGTCTTCATAGGCGTTAGGAAGGAAGAAAAGCTTCTGAAGAAAGGGTGAGACAAAATGCTCCAGAACATTCAGCTTATGAATGTTCTAGAACTCTGGTCAGTGAACACCCTTTAGATGGAGCCCTGAAACTGGCTGGTACAGTGTCGCCAGTCTCCATTCACAGCACTCCAACTAAATCGAGCCCATCTGTCCTTCCACAGCTCACAACACTCTCAAGTTTGGATTGGCCAACTACCCACAGGGGGCGGAGGGGGATGCCTGAGGAAGGGAAGGGAGTGAGGCCCCATGCAGGAGGGAAGGTTTACCTGGCTGGGCGAGTGGAACTTCCTCCACACCTCCACTAACATACGTAGTTAATGGCTGAATCAGCTGCTGAGGCAAAGCTGGAAGGGAGCTGAAATCGTCCATGAGATACACCAGGCTTGGGTTAAAAGCAATCTGCTCAAGCTCTGCCTTATTCGCCTGGCTAGCACCCACGCAAAAGGTCAGCACGCCCGCACGTGCCAGGGCATTGGCAGCTTGCAAATAGGAGTCCTCTGACTGCCCGGCTATGAGCAGGAGCAGAAGCTGCGGCACCTGTTCACGGATCCTGCTGCCTCCAGCTTCAGTGAAGTGGTTGGCATGGACATAGCTTAGGGCGGAGCCAGTGTTCAGGCCCGAACCCCCCTGAAGCTGCAACTGCTTCAGGTGAGCAAGCAGATCTGACTTGGTCTGGAATGTGTTTAGAGAGAACTCCGTGACTGGAGTATCACTAAATTGCACTAAACCAACACGAATATTGTCATTTCCAACATCAAGGCTGTTAACTAGGTTCATTACAAAGTCGCGCACATAAGGGAAATTGGTTTTTCCAACGTTGACGGATCCATCCAAAAGAAAGATGATATCCCTTTTGTTTGCGTGAACTGCAGTGAAGCACAGAAAACAAAGTGAGACAAACACCACCACAGAGGGTTTCATCATGTGTGCCCACAACAGAAGCACACATGCAGACACTTAGCACACAGAGAAAGTCAGCGTGGCAAAGAACTCCCATCTCACAAAATATGGCAGACGGCTGCATATTTTCCTCCAGTGATGGCTGGTATTTGTGAGGCATGTTGATAGCCAAGTTTACAAATCAAGTCAGCTCACAGAGAGATGAAATGCCAAAGTTAGAATGCTTGCAACTCCCCCCCCCCAAATTATTGGAATCCTTGAAATAGAGCATTCCTTCCCTGGAAATAAATTCTACATGGGTGCTTGGCCTTTCTGCATCACCCATCTTTGTGCCCAAGGTCACAGCCAGGTTTACGTGTGCACAGCTGTGTGTTCTGCGGTTTCCCATCCACAGCTTAGAAGCAGTTAGCCCACATTAGCCTGAAAACATGAGTTCCTGACGGCTAAAAAAAAGTAACAAAAATAAGCTGTTCTTGTCTTGAAGTCTTCTTCAGACCTCCTGTTTGTCATTCTCTACTGGCACATTTCTGTCGGGGTGCCACATCCTTGCTAGACAGTCATTCAGCAAGGTGCCGAGGGAATCCCCCACAGGGACATGACAGGACCAGGGGCCTCAGTGATATACAAAAAGACTATTCACTAGGCTCAGCCAAAAATATACACATGAAGAACAAAAAGCGCAGGGCGGTGCCTGTGGCTCAAAAGGGTAGGGCGCCGGCCCCATATGCCAGAGGTGGCGGGTTCAAACCAGCCCTGGCCAAAAAAAGAACAAAAATTGTAATTCTCACATTAGAGTGTTTTCCCAATATATTTAGTACATGCCTTTAAAAATGCCATTTCTCCCCAATGCTTCACTGTGATTTAGACCTCACGACTAATTTTATCTTATGTTTATCAAGTTTAGCATTAGCTACAAAAGTATGGATTAAAGGCTTGTTAAAAATTGTGAAAGGAGAGAGAGGCTTTCAGACAACCAGAGAGTCTGGAGAGAGAGCGAACATCATGCGACACAGGTGATGCGTGAGCAGCCCTGCAGCAGCCGTCTGCAGGGTGGGAAAGCCTGATTCCGTGATAATCATCTTCTCTCCATTAAGGACGATGGACTGTGTGGACTCAATTCAAAAGAACCTTACTAACATCTTGAAAAATAGCCTTTCACTGACACCAGTCATATTAAATGAGGGATCTGAAGAGCCATTGGGTTTAATCACACCCAGGCATTCAAAATACTTTCTCCTTGAGGGAAATCCCCTCGAGAGAGAGGAGCGAGGGGTTAAAGCTGGGAAACTGTGTCCTGATGGCCTTGGGCAAGATGTTAAGGAGGCAGTCAGCCTGGGACAGGAAGGAGCCAGACCACATCTTGGTGGTGAGGAGGCAGCTGAATCACCAAAGGCGACAGAAGAAGACAGGGACCTGACAGGAACAGGAACTGAGATGTGACCTCTTTGGCCAGAAGCTCCAAAGACAGATGCCTGTGTGGTCCTACAGTTTAAGTCGTACTGCTCTTATCCTATGAAAGTTAATGATATGGCATTTTGAACCAAGTGAGTCTCAAACCAGGGCAAAAGGAAGCCTGAAATAAATCTCATTGGTTGCTGTTGTTTCATAATTTAACAAGCATCTCCTAGCTTAACACAAACAACATTTCATTTTCTGTTGTTCTCAAATGTCTTCCCTGGAGACCCCTAGCCTGTGTCTGGAGTCATTACCACCATACCTTCTGTGGTTCCCGAGAGGGTCCTGAGAGGCGCCAGCACACTGGGAAGAATGCCTTGCAATGGGACAGCTCGGAACTCGGCAGGGGCGAACACCAGGGTGTCATCAAAAGCAATCTCTTCCAGCTCAGCCCGGTCAGCAGCCTTGCTCCCAATGGCAAAGGACATGATGTTGCTTCTCTTCAGCTCCTGGGCAGGCTGGCTGACTTCATCTAAGGACTTACCGCCTGTGATCAGCACCAAAAGTTTAGGAACCCCCTCAGCAGCCCGGTAGCCGGCTGAGCCTGTGAACAGGTTGTTCCTGACGAAGTCCAGCGCAGAGCCCGTGTAGAGGGCCTGGCCGTCCAGGGGCTTCATTCCCCGCAGAACAGCCACGATGTCCCTCTTGTTTGAGTAGCTATTGAAATAAAACTCAGGCCTTACGGTGTCTGCATACTGGGCCACTGCCACCTGGATAAGATCCTGTCCGATTTCCAGCCTCTGGATGACTTTGATGATGAAGTCTCGGATGGCATTGAAGTTGGCCAGTCCCAGAGCAGATGTGCCATCCAGCAGGAAGACAATGTCCCTCTTGTTCACTTCGATAACTGTAGGTGGCAACATTAGAAGGTAAGTAGATGCCCTCACCAACTGCATCCAGCGGAGCCTCTCTACAAAGCTCACTGTTTTAAAGATGCTTTTGTTTGCTCTGGCCACGATGACAGCAAGAGCACCCCAAGAGGAACTTGTCATAACACATGCGTTAGTCACACTTGCATCCTTCCTCCTGGAGGAAGGCCCATTCCTCTCCCATCCTGCCTCCTCTTCCTACTTTTTACAAGGTAGTTGCACACAAGCAAATTTAGTCTTAAAAGACACCTACCTGCTTAGCATGCTATCGCTAAATTCAGTAAGTTCTTTTTTGCCCTAAATATATTACCTGTCCAGAACGAAGCCCTCCATTGAGTAATAAAGACTCCACCAATCTCTGCTTAGAGAGCCTTTGCTTCACAATCTTAATTTCTACACCACACATCACCAAGTGTGAAAATCTGAAAGAGTATACACATCCCCATTCTCTCCAGTTCTATCTTTGTTTTTCAGGGAAAAAAAAATTACTTAACATAAAACTTATGAAGAGAAAATTAGCACCACAGCCACAAGGGTCTTAAAAGCTTTTCGTGGAGGAGAAAAGGTGTGGGAAAGGTCCCAAGGACAGACCACAAAGCAAAAGCTCCCAGGTCACTGTCTCAGAGCATCTGTGACCTGCTGTCCTGCTGTTCAATGTGGAGGCAGCCACCCATGTCTCAGAGCAGTGAGCCTTATTAGAGCTCAGTACCTAACCCCGACACCTGCCAGAGCTCCCACGACCTAGAAGGACATAAACCATCACTTTGCAGGGGGAAGCCTGCACCTGAGCCCTCTGTTGCTCTGAACCCTCTGAAAGATCACACAGCAAGATAATTTTCTTACACTGGATGAGGGACAAAGGCTTGGAATAAAGGTTTGGAAGAACTTTCTAAGAAGCAGAGCCACCTCCCATAACAAATTTTTAAGATATAGTTTGTTCCTTGTTTGAACTGGAGGCTGGTGATGCCTGGTTTCAGAAACACTGACATGTCCCTTAAAAAACCATTTTAGGACAGCGCCATCTCATTCATGTACCTGCAGCACCAAGAGGAGGTGCACATTCTAGCAGGCGGGTGACACTTTATGCACCAACAACATCCCTAACACGGTAACAGTTACCTCATCATTTCACCTTTTCTCAAATGTCATGGTCAGTGTAGTGAATGTCCATGCTGGACTTTCCTTCCATTCTTTAATTTAACACTTGTGTCTCTCTGGGCTACCCCTTTGGTTTTGGTTTAAAATATCTTTGCAGATAAACATGAATATGGAGATGTCTATGCATTAGACATCCCTGACACCATTAGAGGGAATACACACATGCACACACACCTGTATATATTCTGTGTAGACCGTGCTGTGTCTATCATGTTTCTTGCCCCCACACCAAGTGGCCCAGACTATGATGTGATTCTTTATGAGCACAAGCAATGGCACAGAAAGTAGGGCAGGAGTTCAATGTCACATTTGTTCCCTCCCAAATTTTAACACCTCCTGCCACTGCATCCCTATAAATTCAACCAATGGGCCAGAGGAACGGGCTCACATACACTTCTGGTGGAACCTGGGATCAGCTCCAAGAATCTCAGAGGTTCCGTGCCACAGTCCCTTTGATGAGGTAAGAGGTCACTGACATTAGATTTTTATCTAAAGTATCAAGTCATGCACCTAGAACCACACACAGCCAAATAAAATAAGCACTAAAGGTATCACACAGCCCAAGTAATAATTAAATTCTGGCGTTTGCTTCATGGTTCTGCACTAGTTCCATGGAATTTCTCTGAGTTTCTGTTCTTCATCTGTGAGATGGAGGGGCTGTATCAAGGATACCCTCCATCTAGTTACAAAAATCTCATGTTTCTCCCTGCTGCCTCTTCTGGGAGCATGTCAAGGACGCTTTGGGGTGTCCTTCTGCCTGGGTGAAACCCCATCCCAAATAGAGCTGCCTCTTCTCTTTCACACATGGTTCTGCTGGGCCTGGGTAGGCTGCCTGGCTGGCAGGTGAACCTGAAGGTCCCACTGATCAGTCAGCCACTGGCATGACCTTCCTCAGCCCTTGCCCCCTCTGACTGACACCTCTGCTTTCTGATGTGGTTCCCAGCAGTCCTCACCAGCTCAGGACCTGGGATGAGTCTTCTCTATTCAATGCTGTTTCCAAATAAATTCTCAAATGTGCAAATCCTTGTCTCTCTTCCCTGAAGTTGTCTTGCTGAAGTCGCCCACCCCACTCTCACCATTCCCAGTGTCTTAGAAACGTGCTCTCCTGAACTCCCTTCTCCAATAAAGCCTGTCTCTCTGAGCCACAGCTGGCTTCATAGTTGCTACAAGTCACCTCCGACATCTCACAGATCCCACCCTCAGTGGTCCTCCTCCCTTCCAGCCACCCCCAGGCCCATCGTGGGGGCTCTGCCCCCTCCCCACTCTCAGAGCCCCTTTGGGTAATTTCCCCATGTCACCACCCATCTTCACAGGGTCTGGGGGAAGCTCTCAGTGCCCTGGTCCCTGACCTCCCTCAGATCCCGCTGACAAAGCCTCCATCTGCTCCTCTCTCTTCTCTATGTGTCCCCCACATAAACGGATGTTCCCTGAGAAAGCCTCAGACTGAGACAGCCCTGGGGAGCACCCAGCCCAGCCTGCCACCCTGCTGTGCCTGCCACACCCACCCAGAGTGACGACTCTGTCACTTTGCTCTCTGCCCAGTCCTCCTCCACTGCCACGCCAGGGTCTCCTCCTGGTAAGAAGCCATAACAGGACAGCCCTCCACCCACACCACCCCATGCCACATCTGCCCACCTGCCCACTCACCGCTCACCATGTCCTCTCCCGGCTGCTGTCCCCTCATCTCTGCCCCTACCACTGATCTGCACCATCCACAGCTGCTCCTGGCTCCCTCTCACTCGGCATCTGGGACTTCTCTCCCCATCCTCTCACCCTCCACACTCCATGTCCTCAATCCCTGATGGCTCCTCCTCAAATCCACCCCACAGCCTGTCTCTCTTCATCCGCTTCTTCCCCTCTCCCCCTCTGACCTCCCTGGGAACGCAGACATGTTAGACTCCCTGTGCCTCACTGCCCCTCAGGCTGAACAAGCTCACGGTACAGCTACTGGCTCCACCCCTCCACCTGCCACTAATCCAGTCTCCCCGCCCACACAGCCTGCTGACTCCGCCCCTGAACCCACTGCTGGTCCAGGCTCCCTGCCCACCAGAAAGCTGCTGGCTCCACCCCTGCATCTGTCGCTGGTCTAGGCTCCTGAGCCCTGTGCTCCAGCCTTGCTGCCTGGGGGGATCCTAGGACAAGGACAAGGTCCTCGAGGTTGCAGGGCTGCCTTCCTGCTGTTCCCTCTGCCTGGAACCTTCTTCCCTGGCTCCTCACTGGCTCCTCTCCTTCCATCCTGCGCTGCTCAGACAGACCTTCCCTGGTCACCCCAACTAAAGTTGGCTTCCCAGGTTCTTTTTTTCTTCCATTTAGTTATTGCTTTTTGAGACAGGGTTTTATCTAACTCTGTCACCCCGTCTGGAGTGTGGTGACACCATTGTAGCTCACTGTAGCCTTGGACTCATGTGCTCAAGGGACTCCCCACCTCACTCAGTCTCTTCAGTAGCTGGGAATACGTGTGGGTGCCCCCATACCTGGCACCCGGTTTCTCTGTCATGGCCCTGTTTAGTGGCCTCATGTAACACTCTGGGGATGTCTTATTTGGTCACTGGTTTACATTTTTAATCTCTTTCCCACTGCACTATAGCCAACCAGAAGCCACATCTGTCTCACTGGCCTGCACTGTCTCCAGTGCTTGGCACAGTGTCCGGCCTATACCAGATGGTCAAGAATATTTGTCAAAAACAACTCAATCACTAATATTAAAGATGATGCTTATAATCAAGGAATTAAGACTCTAGTTAGCTGGGGAGAATCTGAAATGAGGGCTCTATGCTGCCCATTTTAATTAAAAAGTTGAAACTTGTTATCTTCATCACGTGCAACACTTTTGCCATAAATGCAAGAAATCAGAGCCCAGAGAGGCTGCATGACCTGCCTGGGACCACACAGCAGATCCACATAAGACCCAGGATAGAAGACCAGGTTTCCCATCTACAGCTGTGGTACTTCCTCGAGGTTTACAAAACACAGGGAAGTTGTTTGCTTCCAAAAGTGTGCAAGCCCAGAGAAATGCAGCAGGCTGCAAGTCTTCACTCGACAGCCCAGGAGGGAGGTGAGCCTGAGCAGCTCCGAGCACCGGTGGACCAGGCTCTGCGTTCACTGTGCACTGTCCATTTCCCCTCAGAACATTCCCTCAAGGTCAGACCTCCCTAGTGGCTCACCAGAAGGATTTCGGTGTGTTCTGCAGTCCCATCAAGTGAGAGGAAAAGCTGGAAAACTACACAAGGAGAAACACAAGCCTCCTTGGACCGGCCTTTCTGACTTGGGTAAGTAAATTCTAGAAAGAGAATTTTCTAGAAAGTAATGTTCACAGACACTTTCCAATGTCCAGTTTAAGTAAAAGTGTCACAGTCCTGAGCCTTTTACCAACAACTTTCATTATAATAAAAGCCCTGTTTATAAACCACTGGTGGCAAGTCTGAGCTGGCTCAGTGGGAGCCTTGTGGCCCTCCTAAGGAACTCAGTGGTACATCACCTTTACACGTGTGCAACCCCAAGAACTGGTGATCAGAAAGGTGCTGGGGAGGAGAGGTCAGTTCCGTATATGAGTAGATGACAGTGTTTTTAATTAAGAATTTAAGATGCTCCACTATTAATTGTATACAATGGCATGTTGCCCCAAAAGGTTTATTTGTAAATTACTGACACTCCTTTCTCAAAGGAAAACCTACTGATTCAATGGAGGCAGCAATATTTATCACAATGTTTATTTTATAGACCCAGCCATGCAGCCTTTCCTTAGAAAGTCAGCAAGTAAGAGCTGTGAGGATATGTTTGTTATTCTACCCAAGAAAATGTAAATGATTGGTTGCAGGTGATAACCAGGGTCTTACATGAACCTCGCTATTCATTCTCCAATTGTCATTGAGTTCGTGCTCTGGAAGGACGGTGAAGAACAAGGTCTGACATTCAAGGTCTGGCTAATCTAGAGCACCCAGTGTGTAGGCAACACCAGGAAGTGAACTGGGTGCTTCTGGAAACCGTCTGGGGCCACTGTGTCCTAAGTTACTGAATGACACCCTATTGGCTTGCCTAGGTCTTGAAACTGATACAATGAGAAAAGTGACTGATGTCTCAGAAAACAGCTCCCCAGGTAGAGGAACTTGTGTGTTTCCAATCCCCGCACACAGGCCTCTCATGTTTCTTAAATACATATTTGTCAGGTAACTTGGTTGGTTGGTTTTAGCAGTTTGTAGATTACTCCAACTGGCTATTGATCAAAGGCTTTCCACTTGAGTATATGCCATAATCTTGCCACTCAGAAGAATTACTCCTAAACTTAAACACAGGGCAAAATATTTCATAAATGTCCACCAAGTGAGTGCCCGTTATTTCTTACCTTCAGAATGGTCACTCCCAATACCCAAGCACAATAGGACCTTAGGGGACACCCTCACTCCTTTGCCGCTTTTGGAAGGAAGCTCTACCTAGGAGTACACTTCTAACATGCAAACTATGAGGGGTCAATACCATTGTCCCAGAGTAGTTTTCTCAGAATTGCAATGAGCCCTGCAAATCCAATTTTAAGATGCCTGGTTTATAAATGGATAATACACTGATGTTTAACAATCTCACCGTAACAGGTTCGTGAAGTTAGCTTTAAAAGGGCACTTTCTCAACAGCTCATACTTGAAGCAGTGTTTTCCACTCACTCATCCATCTTTAGTTTTTCCAAATACTGCAACCACTACACACATCACAGCCAGGAGCTGGCTTCTCAGGGCAGGATGGGCTGCAGGTACTTACAGGTTCTCCTGAGGAAGATCCTTCTGGTGCCTACCTCACTTCTATGAAAACCAAGACCCAAAACACCCCACTCCCATACAGATGGCGAGAAGAGCATACATACCTTGTGTGACAATGGTTGGCGGTTGCAAGACAATGTGCCTTTGGGCCACGCCAACAATGTACGGCAGTAATTGCTCCTGGAGGTCCCCAAAGCTACGGAATTCCGGGACAGTAAACACCAAGTTGTCATCGGTAGCTATGTGCTGCAGTTCTGCCCTGGAGGCGGCCTGGGCTCCGAGGCCGAATGAGAACACGCTAGCCTGCTTCAGTGCCACCACCCCGTCTCGGATCTCATCACTAGAGGGCACAGCACTTATGAGGACCAGCACCTGGGGAACCCCTTCCTCTGCTCGGCTGCCCCCTGCCCGGGTAAAGTGGTTCTCCACCACGAAATCGAGGGCCAGGCCAATATTGGCCAGCTCCCCACCAGCAAACTCGAGGGCTTTCACTGCATCTAGCACCTGAGCCTTGGTGGAGTAGGTGTCCAAGGAGAACATGGTTCTGGGCACATCGCTATACTGGACCACCCCCACTCGGATCTGCTGAGCTCCAACTGAGAGTCTCTCAAGGAGATTTACAAGGAAGTCGAGAATGACTGCGAAATGGACACTTCCGGTGTTGTTTGATCCGTCAATAAGGAAAATAATGTCAGCAGAGTCTTGTGCTTTAAAAGAAAGAAATGCAAAAAACGTGAAAGCATTAGAACAAGTGACCACATGCATTACTCAGTGTTCTGACATGTTTCCTTGGAATCCAAAAAGAAACACGAAATATGGACAAATGAAACACATGTTGATTAAGGAACGTGAAATTCTCTCTTAGTTCTGCATTCTGAATGGATAAGAGGCAACTGCTTAGAAACTATGGTGCAAAACAGGGACATTCATGTCAACTTTTCACTGGTGCCATTTTTGTAGTTAAATTTCAAACTATCAGATTCACTTTTCCGAGGAAGAAAACTTGGGCACATATTTGAGAAATTTCTATAAATTTGGAGGGAATTGTAGGTACAGGGAAGTGTGTGTTAACCATACCTACAGGAGAAGATAAATGAGTAGATTAACAAAAATTCAAAGCAATGGCTAATTTTTGGTCATGTCTTCTGCCTCCTCAAACAATTTTTGGCACAAATAACAACCACAAAACAGAATCTCAGGGTCTCAGTTTGGTGACACATCAATCCAGTATGTTACCTGATTCCTAGCTTTTTTCTTTAAAAGCCAAAATGGCCAAGTGCGTGCAAATTCATGGATCAAACTACATTTAAAGTTTCAGTTTTAAAAATAGTTTGATGAAATTTGTTTCCTTTCTTTCCTTGCATGTTGTTTAGTTGTATGGAACACAAGTGCAGGCCGGGGGGCGGGCCGCACGTCGTGTTTGTTTATTTTTGCCATCGCCTCTGTATTCAATCATATAATGCAGAACAACGTTAAGCAGAGTGATATGAAACCAGTCATGACATAATTATCCAACCTTATTTTTATGACGTCCTAAACTAATCATCTAGCAGGACCATGAACTTTTAACAAGCCCCTAATCAGAATTAGCTCTGGACATAAAATTAGCAAAGGACAAAAAAAGGCTGACCAAGACACCTTTCCCCTCCTCACGGTAAACTAGAAACTTCCACTTCATTACTGAGAACGGGGGTTAAACAGAAGCCCTGAGCAAGGAATAGCAATCAGTACGTCCAAAACTAGGGCAAGGTATTTAAATTATACCAATTTAAAGTAGAGGAAGAGCAACAGGACCCTTAAATGTTTTTTAACGACTTAAGTATGTATTAGGGACAAGCAGAGATATTACCTGAGCTCATACATTTGTATTCTGGGATTCCAGAAAGCTTCACTTGGGTTATAATTATAGTATTATATGTAAGATCATTCATTCTGATCTTTTTAATGACAATTAACATTGTATGTTTAAAACTACTTTTCCTTGTGCTACAAAAATTGTATTTATTCTCACTGGAAAAGGCCACAAAGCCTATCTCACAACACTGAGGTTTCTGCACTTGTGAAACTACATTCTCACCCAAGCGCTCTCATTGTGCAAAGTGAATGATACCTTTGCAGATTATTTCCTTGTACAGGGAAATACGTTAACTTGGAAATATTGCTATCACAATCCTTATAGGATATAATAAGAAATATAATTATTTGCTGCAGTAATTAAGATCTTGTCTTATTATTGTTAGATCTTATAGTTATTAGATCTTGTCTAATAATTGTCACACACAAATATCAAAGGAGTCTGGGCCTTTGCTTAGAACTCCAAAGCACTGGCCACTGTTTGGCCAAAATATAAGATTCCAGGAGGATCCTTGGGAGGGTGTGGTGCTGGGGACCATGAAGTGCACAGCAGGCACAGGAGTGCCCCACATCGGCATCATCTGAGACAGAGCTCTGCAAAGCATGCCACCACATTCCCCAGTCTCCCAGGCCCACACCGGCAACTCAGAGATCAATCGAGACACGGAAAAGAAGGGTTAACCGTGCTCAGTCTGGTCTATTTTAAAAAATGATACCTAAGTCAAGACACAGGATAACACTATTCCTTCTTCATTGATTACTTACTTTTTGGTTGAAATTTATAAATAAGATAAACGACCCCTGAGGAGACCTTGGTAGCAGTGGGTCATAGAAAAACGTTGGATAATTTGTCATCACCGAATAACAAACATCATCATCTTACACACATAATAATGGGACACAAGAGAGCATGCTTTGTTATCCAGGAGAGCCAAAGCCTCAAATAGGCAAAGGAGCCAGGAGTTCTTGTGTGAAGCAAGGCATACCAACACCCAAGATTAATTCTACCAGGAATCAGCTCTACCTAACGTTCAAACATCTTGACGTTGTCTGCTTTTCTTCTTTTATGGCTCATGTATCACATCCTCTGGTGTCATTTTCTATGGAAAAGTTTCACAATGTCCAAGAAAAAAATCATAGGTTTCTTCAACCGCACTGAGAATTCTATTTTCCTGAGCACATCATTTTTAAGGGAAAAACCTTCAAATTTTCATTTCCTAGGCAAGGCACAAAATCATAGCTATGTTTCACAAAATTTTCAAATCTTCATATTTTGTGGAAAAAAGAAAAGAATGCTCTTGCTGAAATCCTTACTGTCTGCTGTAACGTTTATGCTGGAACACATACAGGTTTTGTATCTCAGATTCACTTTGTTTGCCCATTTTTAAAAGGATGACAAAGGGATTTTTAGAACACAATTATTGAGATGGATTGCTTGAGTAGAGTTCATTTAGAACAGCGGCCACTAACATTAACACGTTATACCTATATCTACAATTATATCTATTTGCATAACCTTAGAATCCAGAATACTCTGTGGGGAAAAGCTGCCTAGTATCCTACATGATGGGAGGAAAAGCCCTTCCTTGCAGCGGTCTCTGTAATGCCGTTCTCGCTGCCTTTTACAACCCTGTAAGCAGAGCCTTACGATTATTATCACTATTTTACTTTTTTGCTGTGGAACATGCAGCAGGACTTGATACTAGAGGAATTGCAGAGTGGCGTTAATCAGAAGAGAAAACGTGAATGGATTAATATTCTACCCTGGCGCTGCTAGCAGCTCGGACACTAGAAGACAGAGATGCTCTCGTGGCATAAAAACAAAGGTTTTGTCATCTGGGGGGAAACAGACTATGACATTGGCCTCATTAAGCATTCACTATGGTAATCTCAATGTTTGTCCACTTATATAATGATTAAATACAAAGGCAAATTCACTTTTCTTTTTCATGAGTTTGCCAAAACATCAGTAAAAAGATGTCCCATTTCTCCACTGATCCCTGCCACTGTTTTCCAACATGTCTGGTATTATCCCTGTATTCAAAATGCGATGAGTCTGCTTTCATGATCAGAGCTGGTCAATATAGATTCCTTCTTGTCATTTTTTTTATAACGTGGAGTGTTTGATTGGGGGTGCTCGCAAGGACACCCGCCTTCTTCTCCTGTGATCTGGCTGTGTGGACCCCTACGTCACAGTGCCAGAGATGAGACATTTTCACTCGGAAGCAGGAAATAATCCTCAGTGTTAAAGGTCAATACCCCAGACTGCCCCTTCCTCCTCTCTGCTGAGAAGTAGGCCCGCTGACCAGGGCTGAGCTGAAACCATGGGCAATCACTGGGAAACCACTCTAAGAACAACTTCCCAAACACCTGCAGCTGGTCTGTTCTGAAGCCCTGCTCTGACCCAAGCTCTACCTGCTCATGACAGCCGCTGCCTTTCTGCTGAAGTCTAATCATCTCTCCCCACCTCCTGCTTTCTGAATCCCCGTTATGAAAAACCAAGGGCCAAGCTTGTTTCCCTTGTGTTTCCCTGAGACAGCCCTGATTCTGATGGCACTCCAGAAGGCCCCGCCCATCCCCTCCCTCTGCTGTCCGCCCTGGCTGGGTCTTCCCGGGCAGAATCCTCCCGGTGACTCCTGCCTCCGAGCCTCGGCCTCATCCCTTCCTTCTCCCTGCCCCCACCTGCACCACGGAATTAACAAGAGACTGGCTTTCCATCAGTCACCTGCCGTCCTGTCCCCACAGCCTTCTTGGTGGAGACCATTTCCAAAAGCTTGGGAGAACATCTGCTGGTAAGCCTTGTCCTGTGATCACGTCCTCTGCCCCCTGTGTGCCTACTCAGGCCTGGCTGCCCCGGCCTTCCCTTTTCTTTCAAAGAATTATCCATTTTCTCCTTGCAGCTGAGGACGCTGAGGAGGACCTCCAGCCTTCCTAAGTGACCTCAGCCTGCGTCCACATGTCTGCATGGCTCAGCTTCTGCATCCCCGTGGCCCTGCCATCTACGTCACCCAAAGCACCTGGGGCACCACCTGACAGTCCTCTGGCCACAAGCTGACCAGGAGGTCTCCCTCTCCTGGCACCCAGAGCACCTGTCCACAGGCTTGGCTGCCTCTTTCCCTCCCAGCTCTCATCCTCTGGCTCTTCCCAGGTCTCCCGCCAGCACTAGCTGACCTCCCCGCCCAGCCCGGACTCTGTGGCAAGATACTGCCGGACCTTACTAGCTACTGTCCTGCAGTGCCTTCCTGGGAATCAGTTCTGCTCTCCCCTCTGTCATTGTCTCTTCGTAAGCTACAAACCTGGTAACTTCTTTGATCCCAGCAGGCCCAAGATGTCTGCAGAAAGGCAGGGACCGGTAATCTCTGAGGGCTGCCCGTCACTGCAAGGCAGCAGCTTCTTCCTAAATGTTCTGTGACTCCCTGCTCACAGCCCTGCAGAAGCTGTCCGGAACTCACTCCAGTCTGTCCAAGCTCCCAAACCCTGCTGCCTCCCTCCTTTACTGAGACTGTGACCAACCCGACTTGCTCTCTACATTCCTCTACCTGCCTCAAAATCTGAGAAACACAGCCCCTTTCTCTGCCCCTCCCCAGCCTCGGAGGCCCCCAGGTCCTCCCTGAGACCTGCCCCTTCTGCCCAGGACACTCTGCTGTCAACTACCCCCGGCAACGTGGACCCCCTTTCTCAGGGAGGGAGGTGCCGTTGTCCTGCCCTGATTGGGGTGTAGGCCGAGCTCTGGACGCTCATCAGAATCACTGTGGTAAGATATACTTTGAAATTTTACTTGTCAAAATCCTTCCCCATCAGTGTTTTAGGCCCTTAGTGCTAGAAAGAGAGCTGATGGGCCCGATCGGTTAAATAACTCACCGGCCAATTAGCCTCACGCAAGTCACTGCCACAGTAACATGCCAACATGACGTCCACACTCATTGACGCTTCTGGAGTGGCACCAATGAGGGCCTCTGCAGGCACAGCCACAGTTGGGCACAGAAATTAGGAAGAAGTCCAAGCCCAGAATCAAAGCCATAGGCCCTGCCACCCTGCCAGCAGGACTCGACTTCTTCAAAATAGCTCTGCACTGGGCCATGGCTAAGGTTTCTTATGATTCTAATTCTTCAGCTCTCTGGAATAAATTCCGTGGAGCAGAGGACAGCCACGCTCTGCTATTCCTCTGGACACAGGTCAGGGGCAGCCCCTGTACCCCTCAGCTCATGCCGTCTCTGACACCAAGCTTCCCATGACGGCCAAGAGGGGATTATTAGATACCTGCCCAGCCACTCTGGGGCTTTCCTTCCTAAGAAAGGCAGAGGCACCTTTTATGGGATCTGGATATTAGAACGTGATTTTCCATAAAGTACTAGTTGTTTCAAAAAACAAACAAAAAAAGAAATTCCTCCTGGATGTAGGTGTGTGCCCTACTTGAGAAGTTGACTATAAAATATTCAGAGTCAAACCTTTGTTTTTAAACCTGTGAACATCCATCTCTCCCCAGCCCCGCCCGCCCTCGCAGCTGCGCTGTGGCTTCACGGCCAGCGGTTGCCAAGCTTCTGCCCAGGATTCTGCTTCTGCCAAGCTTCTGTCCCAAGCTTCCGCTCCAAAGAACAGCGGGGCAGGGGCAGCCGGTGGCGTTGCCATTACCTGTGATGTCCTTAAGGGTTTCCGTGTCCCCAGCCCTTTCTGGCCTCACGGATGAATGCACACAGGCCACTAAGTTTCCTACTATGTCATGAAGTGAGGTAAAATTCTCTAGGCTGAAAACATGCGTATTCAGTGGTTCACTGGCTATTTCTTTTAAGGCTCCTTCGTCTGCGTCCTCAACTCCAATTGCAAACACGTTAACATCAGCGGACTTAAGTTCCGCAGAGCGCAGAGCAAGGCCATCCTCAGAGTGTCCATCGGTTAACACTACGATAACCTGGGGGACGCCGTCCCTGGCCCGGCTTCCAGCAGCCTCAGTGAGGTGGTTTTGTATCACGTACTCTAGTCCTTGTCCCGTCTGATCGCTTCCCCCAGTATAGGACAGGTTAGAAACATGGGAAAGGACTTCTTGGTTAGTGCGGTACGTATTTAGCAGGAACTCGGTATGTGGGTTTCCGTCGAACTGGACCAGAGCAAAATGGAAATCATTTTCTCCCACAGCTAAGGAGTTTATAACATCATACAGAAACTCTCGAACAAGTTGGAAGTGTTCCTTCCCAATGCTCCAAGAGGAATCCACTAGAAATATTATATCAGCAGCAGCACCATTTTTGACATCTTTAAAAAAAGACATTGGTTTAGATTTTTCTACTATTCAAGCAATTACTCCCTATCTGTGAAAAACCTGCCTAAACAAATCCAACTTACACTAGGCTGTTACAAAATAATTCACTCCTCGAGGGTCCTGCAGGAAGGCAGACAGACTTACCTGGGGGGGGCCAGGACGCCACAGCGGCTGGACCCCAGTCACTGGCCCAAGGTCCACATTCAGTAAGCACCATGTGTGGGCCAGTAGGATGCTCCAGAATGGGGAAAAATTCCTGGGCTGTCTTTAACTTGAGCATGATCCCTGTGGCAGTCTGAGCCCCAAGACCCACCTGATCAGACCAGAAGGATGTCCTCTCCCAGATAACCAACCCTCACTTTGTAACTCCATTCTTTCATTTGAGGTCTGAGCCTGAGCCTTGACAAGAAGGAAAAGTGAACTCTACGACTGTTCGACATTAACAGTGAACTCTATGACTATTTGACATTAACTGACTAACCGCCAATGCTTCCGCTTATATGCAAGAAAAATAAAGGAAATAAACTCATGTTGTTTGAGTGAGGAAGATCAGTATTAATGTAGAGAAGAGAAAAGTAAGGGTTTTTTTCAGACCTTTGAGCCCAAAGACAGGTACTCTAATTAGTACATGTTTTTCAGAGCCAGAAAAGTCGTTGTATAACTTGGACATTATCGCAGATGAATCCGGTTCTCCCTTGAGAGCAGGATCTTGGGCTGTCAGGACATTGGTGGGCCTGGAAGGTGCTCTTCCACAGCCCTGGGCCACGCTGGCTCCTCGACCCCACTTATCTCACACTGACCTGAGGTCCCAACCCACGTTCTTCTTCCACCGAGGTGGCACGAGCCTCCCTGTCCTCTAAGAGCAGCTGGCCCACTGGGAGAAGGCCTCGGAGGCCCAGCTCTCCCGGGAAAGGGGGAATAACCAAGTTATTCCTTCCCAGATTGCAATGCATGAAGCATTTCTCTTTTTAAAAGAACTCTGAAAGCAAATTCTTAATAGGATTAGTTAGAATTCATTTTTTAACAGTAATTTTGGGAAACAGATTTTTTTGAACATCCAATTATTCTAGATAAAAAATGTCTTTCAACGTTCAGAGTTATAGAGAGAGGATGATATTTGGGGATTTTTTTCAAGGAAAATAATTTTACGCTCAATGTTGTCCACTCTTTGCTTCATGTGCTCAGAGACCAATTACTGCCAGAAACATGGAAAAGTCAGATCCAAGCCTTCTACTCACACTAATGTAAAAGTAAAACACTTTCAAACCAATTCTGAGATACCAAACCAAAGCTCTGATGAAAATAAGTCATCACGCATGGGATAAAGAACATCGCAAGAGGTTTATAAGCTAAATGAATATCCTATAATAAACGGCTTAGCTATCTCTTGAACACATATCTGAGCTTAGTATCAAGCTCTGATGTCTAAGACCTAAAATCAAAGAATGCTGTTTCCTTTTATAAAACCAAGGATGTTTCTGGTCTTACCTGCTGGCTGTTGCTGGGCATGAGTCATGGAAAAGCCTGAGAGAAAGAGGCAAAAGATGGCCACTGAGGGCAAATGCCGATGTTTCCTCATTTTGAATTTGTCTAAGCACCAAATAAGAACCTAAAATAGAAAATAAGGCAAAAAAGAAGATCAGGTTTTGACTCTCAAAAATCATTCAAAATCCTACAATTTCTATGTCCTTTCTAGACGTCCAAGGGGACTTTGATTCATTCTTCAGACAGCAATGAAAAATAAGTGATGGGTTGAAAGATGATTGACAGACAGAACTAGATGAACATTCACACAAACACACACAAACAATCATGTGCATCCATAGATAGATGATAAGGAAAGGAGGAAGGAGAGGGAAAAAGGGAGGAAGGGAAAGGAAGAAGGGAGGAAAGGTGGGGAAGGGAAAGAGAAAGGGAGGGACCAATATGGGAACAAGCAGTGGGCAGACAGAACTCTGTCTGAGGAGGCCTCAGACCTGTTCTATTTAGAGGACATAGGTCACCCTGTGATGGAGCTCGTCACTATCCTGGTTGGACATTCCTTAATCATAGTTTGAAGAACACAGTTATCTTTTTTTGTTTTTGTTTTTGTTTTTGTTTTGGAGACAGACTCTCACTTGTCACAGCTCACCACAGCCTCAAACTCCTGGGTTCAAGCAATCCTCTTACCTCAGCCTCCCAAGTACCTGGGACTACAGGTGCCTGCCACCATGCTTAGCTATTTTTATTTTATTTATTTATTTAGTAAAAAGAGGATCTCGCTGTTGCTCAAGCTGGTCTCAAACTCCTGAGCTCAAGCAATTTGCCTGTCTTGGCCTCCAAGAGTACCAGGATTACAGGTGCGAACCACCTCACCTGGCCACACAGTTACATTTTTTCAAGTGGACATTCATAGTAGGATCTCCACAATCTGAAAACATTACCTTACTTTATTCAAATCATTAACTAATAAACCGAGGATTTATCCCCTACAAAAGGCAACTGTGATTAAACATACAAATGAAAATCTTTTAATCTAGTGACTATTACTTTGGCCACAGTTTAAATGCATGCAATTAAACTTTTTTCCCCTCCCAAATTTAGGTAGTTAGCAATTTGTAAATAGTGCATTTCTAAACAAAGGGCAGAATGGAAAAGGGTCAGGAGCAAAGGCACACACAGGCACACAAAGAGGCAAGTTGTGACACCCAGCTGGTTGCATAAATATATTTAAATGACTCTGAGAAGAAAGCTTCAGTTCATGGAGGGATCAGGCTCGCCCAAATCATATAGCAAGTGCAAACCTACCCACATAGCTGGGGCGACCGCCAACCCTGCCCTCATATTTAGCCCTTTTCCTCCAAGGGAACCTGCTGTCTTCTAGCCTCCATTCTCACAATGGAACCAGTCCAGAAAGATTTAATTAGCAAAACTGGGATGCTGAACCGGAAGGCTAACTGCCCTGCTGCAAAGTCTCCCACACCACACAAACACTGGTGGCGGTGAACATGACTTCCCATCAGCCAAGTTTATGTCCACATGGTCTCAGTAGCCTGTGTCATCAGACTTTTTCCCTGCCAGCAACACTTTCTCTTCCTACCTCAAACCTTTATGTTAACCTGTTCACCTTCCAATCACCAATCCAATGAGAGAAGTTTGAGGGGTGAAATCTCCCTTAAGCCCCCTCCTAAGAGCTGGCCTAGGTCTTCCCTTTTCTCCTCCCTTGACCCGAGGCTCTGGTTTCCTTGCCTTTTTCTCAGACTATAGCCCACATTAAGATAGGCCCAAGTTGGGTTGATACTTTGGTGTGGCCATCTTGAAATCCTAATGACTTTGGGACAAGAGGCACTTCATTCTCATTTTGCACTGGTACCACAAGTTATGCATCTGGTCCAGCCTGCAGCTGCGCATGTCAGTGGCTCTTCTTTCCCAGGCTGGTGAGGGGTTCCGGGTCATGTGGTCCCTTGTCAGGAGTTTAAGTAATGTAATTGGCATTGGCAGCACAAGTAGGCTAGGATGGCATCAAACCGCTGCTTTAGATGTCATGTTAGCAAAAGTTTTCACCATCTTCCATGTGCCAATTGCTGTTTTTCATAATTTCTCAATACTTATACCATTTATATTTGCATTATTAATACATATATATGCTGATGTTTGTGCATATGGTGAAAATTGGGGCTGGGAGAATAAGTGGCCCAAGTCACACAACTATTAAGAGACCTTGGTACTCAAATGGCACCTGCCACTAGGAAGGTTAATAAAATAAAAAGATAAAAAGAGTGACTTTTTCTCTCTCGATGAAAACTCCAAGATTCCATAACAACTTGTCTATCAAGTTCATTAACCCAAATTTGGCCTTTTTAAGAATCCTTTACGGAAGGAGCCCGTGACACTGGGAAAAGACGAGGTGCTTGGAGTCAGACAAACCCGGATCCTGGCTCCACCACACCCTACCTCGAGCAGGGCATTAAACTGCTCAAAGCTTCAGTTTCCCCCTCTATAACATGAGTATAATAATAATAATGCCTCCTGCCAGCCTCCTATGAGGATTGTAGGACAGACCACTTGTTAAATGCCTGGTGCAGAATGGATAGCAGTGAATTATAACTACCCATTGTTTTCCAAGGCAGGTTTAGTTGGCACTTCCCAAAGGTTATTCCATGACTCTATGAAATATTCTGAGAGGAAAAAGAAAGGCGTTCCCTGAGCAATGCAGTCTGGAAAGCACAGAACAGCAAGCTCCCCTTGAACAGTTACAATACATCTGCAAATAGCAGCTCTGAGAAGTGAAGAACAAAGGAAAAAACCTTGCACCTTCTTTAGCCCAAAATTTTCCAAGCATGTATTTCACAACATCTTTTTTCAATAAAAGCTATTACATCTCATGAAAAGAGCTGCTCACTTTGGGGGAGAGCGCTATTCTTTCCCGTGTCTAACTTTACTAAATTCTTGCTCCTTGAAAGCACCAACTATAGGCATCTCCACCTGCCCAGTGCTCCCCTCCACCCAGATGTCTGTCCTCTTGGACTCTTCTAAGGGCAAGTAAGGATCCACATTGGTCAATGGTGGAGCTCGCCGCCTCACAGTGACCACATTTCTCTAAAGAGGCCCAAAAAAGGGGGCAGAGCCAACCTCATTATCAGCACAAATTTTCTTGGCACTAGTTAGTATTGTAAATTATTTTTCTTCATGTACTGAGTTTCAAGAAGATCTACTTGATATTAGAAATATATGATAGAGACTACAGTTAAGCAGGAATTCTATTTGCTTTAAGAAACTGAAATCCATTTAATCTGTAAAGACTGGGTTACTACCATAATTACACTGTTCAGGACTGAAGGTTAAAAAGAAGTCCATTTAGTGAATGACAACATGGAAAGGCCTTCAGCATCAACGTGAATAAAAATAGAAAAGATCTTTGTCCCTGGTTTTCAAGTATACATCAGATACGCAAATGTGATTTTTTTTCCTGTTTATAATTCTAAAACTCCAGATGTTTCTGAATTAATTTTATATCTGTCTTGGTACATATTTGATTCTTCCCTGAGGGAGGAAAGGGGAAATGAAAACAAATTGGAAATGTGAAATCATTTGTATAAAACTTTGGAAAGAATCCAGGAGACAATAATAAACTAACATATTAGAAAACCTAGAAAAACTAAATATAGTTCTAGAAACATACAACCTCCCAAGACTGAATCATGAAGATATAAAAAATCTGAACAGACTTATAATCAGTACGGAATTTGACCAGTAATAAAAACCCTCCAATAAAGAAAACCCCAGGTCCAGATATCTTTACTGGAAAATTCTACCAAACATTTAAAAAAAAATTAGCATCAATACTTGTCAAACCATCCCCCCCCAAAAAAAAAAAATTAAAAGAAAGAACAACTCCAAACTCATTTTGTGAGGCCAGCATTATATCCTGAAACCAAAATCATAAAAAGACATTAGGAAAAAGGAAAAACAGACCAATATCCCTGATAAAAATGTATACAAAAATTCTCAACAAAATACTGGCTAACCAAACTCAACAACATATTAGAAGGATTAGAAACCATAACCGAGTGGGATTTATTTCTAGAATGCAAGGATGGTTCAACATGAAATCCAGTCAATGGGATATACCACATGAACAGAATGAAGGGGGGAACCACATGATCATCTCAATTCATGCAGAAAAAGCACTCAAAGCAATTCAACACTCTTTCATAATTAAAAAGAAAACTTAAACTAAAAATATTGGGAAATTACTACAGCATAATGAAATCCATATATGAAAAACACAGCTAGCACCATACTCAAGGGTGAACAATTGAAAGCTGCTGTCCCTCTAAGGTCAGGAAAAAGGCAAGTATGTCCTTTCTCACTCCTTCCATTTGACATAGTACTAGAAGTCCTTGTCAGAGCAATTAGGCAAGAAAAGGAAACAAAATGCACCCAAATTGGAAAGAAAGATGTAAAATTATTTCTGAGCATGATCTTATAAGTAAAAAATCCTAACTATCACACACATTTTAAAAACTGCTAGAACTAATAAATGAGTATGGAAAAGTTACAGGATATAAAATCAAAACATAAAAATTATTCATATTTCTATAGATTAGCCATGAACCATCTGAAAAGGGGATTTAAAAAGCAATCCCAGGCAGTGCCTGTGGCTCAGTGGATAAGGTGCTGACCCCATATACAGAGGGTGGTGGGTTCAAATCCAGCCCTGGCCAAACTGCAAACAAACAAACAGAAAAAAAAAAAAAGCTGGGCATTGTGGCAGGCACCCTTACTCCCAGCTACCCAGGAGGCTGAAGCAAGAGAATCGCCTAAGCCCAAGAGCTGGAGGTGCTGTGAGCTGTAACACTACAGTACTCTACCAAGGGTGATAAAGTGAGAGTCTGTTTCTAAAATTAAAAAAAGCAATCCCATTTGTATCAGAATGTTTATTGCAGCCCAATTCATAATTGCCAGGTCATGGAAGAAGCCCAAGTGCCCATCGATCCACGAATGGATCAACAAACTGTGG